GTCTTTTTTTGTCTTTTCTCTCCTTTTTTCTCGCACATGCATGTTTGCACACATACATTCACACACACACATGCACACACACACACACACACACACATGCACTCAGACATGTAAGCAAACAAAATGTGTTTAATAGGTCAATTTATACAGTCATAACATTTACACTTACCTTGATTTTGGTATTAATCTTCAAGAAAAAGTGTTTCTGGCCAGATAAACATATATGACTGTGAAGTGTTATGCCAAATGACTTTGGACTACAACTTGTTCAGTGCATTGTTAGCTTTCCGAGGTTCTATTTAATGATGGCTGTGGGATAGATCTGTGTTGAGAACTCTTCTCAACTCCACAGAAACCGAGAAGCACTTGAAGATAACACTGAAGGTATCTGCCTACTATTTACTTACGGTACTAAACAAATGATCGGATATATCGGGGGGAGGGGGAGATAAATGAACTTCTTGAAATAAAAAAGTTTTATTGAGTAGTAAATCTTCACACCACATTAAATTAAAAACATACTTACTCCAAAAGTAGCCAAGCTTTGGAGCAAAGCCTCTATGAAGTAGAATGTGTTGGTGTGTATGTTTTTTATAGATAATACTTATCAAAGATTTATACTTTTCTTATCTCCCCAAGGAAGAACTACTTAGTCGCTATTAGTTCATAAGATGTAAGCTTAACGTTAACCGTTTGACTCTAAACAGATAAAGTTCAATATCTTTTACGTTGTCGCTTAGGATACAAACGGACATTTTAGTGAGACCAGCAAATTTCATTTATCACTTGTGTTTGTAAATGGGGAACTACATATATTTTGACTTCCACAAAGATCAAGTTTAGGATCTGAGTACATTTATGGGGTGATTTTGTGGAACTTGGATAATAATAATAATAATAATTATGGCAGATGATGACAATAAGAGAAATGGTAAAACTTTATGGCAGGAGACAGCAGAGATATTCAGAGCTCAGGCCAAGAGATCTTATTTTAATTTAAAAAGGGGTAAGTTTTGATATATGGCGCAGTAGCTGACTTCATTCGCAAAGCAAAGATTTACTTTTGAAATGGAACTTCTCAAGAGAAAAAATACATTAAGCCGTTTTCATATTAATTGGGTTTAACAACTGTAGTCTAAGAAGTCTCATTATAATATTAAAATTGGGATATTGTGTGCTTGTAATAAAGTGACTGGCATGGTAGACATATGAAAGATTTACTTATTATACAGCATTCCTCATAAGATACAATGTATATTTTCAAAATAGAACTTGTTTGTTGGTTATTCGGCACCGTAACTAGCTTTGGTATCCTTACTTGGTAGTAATGTATTATCAAGAGAGAGAATAAATTATGCTGAGTGTAAACTTAATGGACATGTTTGTATTTGGATTGGCAGATTTAAATCGGACTGGATGTGAAGTGCTGCCTGGAACCCATGCATACATGCTTTTTCATGTTTAGTTATATAAACTGAGCTGATTGAATGGTTGTTCTTTTAGTTTTTAACAACAGGTTTTAGTCTGACCTAAAGACATGTACACATCAGTTCAAGCTTAGACTCAGATTGTAAGGACGTGTACACATCAGTTTCAACTGAGACTGAAATTAAACTAATCTGGTTATGTCAGCAGAGGACCAGATTGCTGAATAAAACAAGTATTGGGGACTTGTGATATTTAACATTTATAGCTCCATTAGCTGTAAAAAAGACTAAAAAAAAAAATTGAGATTAATTATTACAGAGGTTTGTAAAGGTGAAAAATGGTAGTCAGTTTCATTTGTTTCAAAGGTTTGGGCATGTTGTTTTTGTTAGATGAATGAGATGAAGTTGACATAAGGAGCAAAGGGAAAAGTATTAAAATGTCCTTATCATGGTTTTATGGACCAGTGATTATCACTGTCTAACAGCTTCTTTCTAAACCGGGCACTGAAGTCTGAATTAAGTGATGTCAGTCGTCATTTTTCATTTTTTTAGACCTGTTACAGATGTTTCTTGCTAATTGTACCTGAACTTTAAGTAGAGTCATGTTTATGTCTGATTCCTATAACAGCAACAACAAACATGAGAGGGCATGTTTAAGTTGTCCATACCTGGCTCTCTAGCAGCCCGTCTATTTAATGGACACCTTAAGATAAGAGATTACACTAAGCCAAATACTAACTGCTATTTCTTCAGATAAGGGAGCTCTATTTAATCAGACTTTCAGGTGAAGATTTGCATTTTTGTAAACAAAACCAAACAAAACAAACTAGTATTAATTTGACAGTAAATCTTTTTTGGATATCACCTTAGTTATTAGGTCAGTGTTTTTCATTTTGTTATTCGTTGGAGTATAATTATCTTCCCCATTAGACACTAATACATCCTAATTGTCTGTACAGAGCAATAATTACTACCTAAATGGCATTCCCTTTATTACATATTTTTTGTTGCTGCTATGGGTTATAGAATGTTATGTAAATATTTGTAATGCAGCAAAATTGATTATTGATATATATATAATATAAGCACACTTAACAAGCTAATAATGACTGCAGCATAACCTGACTGTATATTTAATTGGAAATGCTTTAATCCATTGTTCATTGATTCATCCTCCTATTCCCCTGGCTCTGATGGCACCTGCCCGACCACATTACGTCCATTGATTTTTTTCTCCCAATTCTGTGAATCTGTAGAACGATTTGGATGCACACAATGCTTCTAAATCAGTGGCTTCCTGCTGCAGATATAATGTAGTTGGCATTTTGTTTCTATCGTTGCAGAAAATGGATGAATTTTTTCGGTGTGGTGAATGTTTTAATCGGTTGGATGTTATTTTTGACACATGCGTTAGCGTAACTGTTAGAAGCAGGGTTATTATATTTTAAAGACATGATATGAGAACAATAGAAACTGAACAAAAAGGGACCTGCATAGCCATGATTTGTATATTCGATCCACATAAGTTAAGACTGAGAGACATACAGAAAGGGACATTGGATCTGACATTGCTTTAAAAGGGTTTAGAATGTCTATATGTAATTCTCAATTAAGAATCAAGGAAACTGGAAAATTTCCATTGGATGTGACGACTGTGATATAATCCTTTTATGCTGATGGCCACTTCTGCTGCGATTTACTCTTTAGTATGGAATGAATGCCTGCACATTCGGAGGTCTGATTGTAAAGTAATTTAGAAAGGAGATTGTATTTTTAGTGACTAGAGATGAAGATAGCAATATAGTCCAAGATTTTCACTAAGAATCATCTTATAATGGATGGGATGGAATATGATCGGATCAATACTAGTACTTGCTCTGAATTCAACATGTCAGTATGAGCAGCTCGAATAAATTCTTGCAGTTGAGGTTCCGCGAACGGTTGCATCGAACAAATTTCTATGGTTACACACCAGGTAATCTGATCAGTTATAGTGAATCAATTTCTTTGATTTATGTTGTGATTTACATACCTATTATATAATTATGCTAATCCATAACTAGGATTTGGAATCCCAGTGCAATTAAGGCACGATTGAAATATCAAAAATCTTCATACACAATCTTATATGATGAGCAATGCTTATCTGAGACTTAATTAAGTTATTATATTTTGTAAGTGATAATGTACATGGTAAGGGACCACAATACCATTACTTCATGATAGAAAAAAATGTCCTGATGCCATAAAATAATGATAATCTATGTTGTGACATCTTGCCATAGCCAGGAGACAGATTATTGCTAGGCTGCCAGCCTGCTGTATAATAATAATAATAATAATAATAATAATAATAATAATAATAATAATAACAAATCTAATATCTAATATTTACATTAATGAGTACAATTATTTATCCGCGATGGGTGCTAATGCAGTTTGTATTCATGAATAGAGTGTAGAATCATTAGCTTTTGATCACTTCATCACTTCTTCTCTCCATCCAAAAAAAAAACAATTTCCATATGGAGTCTTTTTTCCAGGTCCTGAGAATACCAGCTAGGTTACAAATTAAGGATTTGCAAGTTGCATTATGTCTTATGACATGATTAATATGACTTTTCATATTGCTCATAGTAAGAGAAAGGATCACAGGTCTAGACAAAGGGTTATGATAATTATGTTTTTCGATGTAATGGAGTGTTCTGCATTGGTGAAGATATCCTTCAGGTTATCACTCATCCAAGGCCTCCAGACATATTATGACTTGAATAGACTTTTTTTTGCCTTTTATTTGTTGTGTAACCTCCAGTTCAAATAGCAGTAACATATATATAAGTCTGAGCAGCACTTTGAAAGGTCGCGGCTTCATATTAAAGAAATAAAATAATGTGTTGCTTTCAACAGGAATTGCTTGTAACTATAGAAACATGCTATTGCCTGCCAGGCAGTTTTTCTACATAATATGATCATAACATTAAATATCATGCTGTTTAGTTAGGGGAACAGCTGTCAGCTGTGCGTGTCTTGGAGACCATAAACTAAGACAGGGAGTAGAAAAAGATGATAATAGATCATTTGCTCTTTTGAGGAGTATGCCTGAGTAAGGAAATCTGCTGTATTTAACATTTCATTTGAAATCTTCACTCCCTTTAGTTATTATATTGCATTCCATTTCTTGTTGTCATAATTATTATAATTGATAAATTGTCTAACATGCATTTCACTAATTTTTATGTTAAACTTTGCCTTCTTCAGTAGGTGGGGACACTGATTAAATAGTAAGGAACAAGGGGTATTTGTTCAAGTATGCTTCAGTGAAGAACAATAACAACAGACATCTGAAACAACAGCAGAAATACCAATATTTATTAATACTATTTTAATGCAGCTGTGATCCTATACTGATCAGAAAATGAATTCTGATTTAATGCCTTAGTTCACATCACATCAGATAATAGAGGAGGAGGAGGTGAAAGCAAAACATTTGACCCACTCTGAATTTTTACCCCAACTTGGTGGTTTTGAAACATTTTTTACTCCCTGTTATTCAAGTCTCATTTATTTTTTCAGATGAACAAGAGAGAGTACAAAAGAAGACATTCACCAACTGGATTAACTCCTATCTTTGTAAGGTAGGTAGTGTGTTATCAGTTAAGATGAAATGTAGTTGTGGCATAAATTAAGTCTAAAGTTGCGCTAACACTCACTAATTTAGCCAAATGCTAAAACAGACTTTAATTTTCTATACAAATGGGGTTAATTTGATTTGTTTAGGTCAAATTTAAACCATTTGGAGAAAAAAGTGATGAAAAAGTAGTGATTTGGCTGCTATCCCAGTCACTAATTGGGGGGGGGGGGGGGGGGGGTTTAA